AAAAACAAAAAAAACCAAAAAAAAAAACCAAAAAAAAAAAAAAAAACAATGAAATCAGAAAGCAGACTCCTCTTCCTTAGTCTGGGCCAGTCAGCATTCCCTCCACACCAGTCACCAAGTTGAATAGATGCTATTTGTAAATCACCTGTGGCTTCTAAACCTTGCCACCTGGTGGCAGCAGCGAGTTCCTAGTCTGGAACACAGGAAATCCCCAGGTCTGTGGAGGTTCAGAGGTAATTCCCCCAAACCATCCTCTATGCCTATGCCAGTGGAACCCACATTCCGGTGAGAGAGGACAGTAACAGAGGAAACTAATAAGATAATTTCAAGTATAGAAGTAATGGGAGCCTACTGATTACATAGTCAGAGAAGGGACATTTGGTCCAGCCCTATGGGGAGGGGCCAGCCACATAAAAAGAGGAGGTTTCTGAGTAGAAGGGTAATTGGCAATGCTGCTACACTCAGAGGACCCGTTCGGGCGTTGATACCCCCTCGACCTTACGGGTTTATACGAGGAGTAAATGAGAAGTATGTGTGTAAAGCAATTAGGCCTTTATCGGGTGACTTGTGATCATCTGTTTTGGTTGGTGGTGGTGTTGAGGATTGAACCCAGGGCTTCCCAGATGCAAAGCACAAGTTGGAGTACTGAGCTACTCCCCCAACCCCTCATCACCAATTACTAAAATGCTGTCTGTCCCATTATTTAAGGTTTATGTGTGATCCTCTAAAGGTTCACATCTTGCATTTCTTCTCTTTCATTCATAATGAATCTTTACAAAGATTTATAAGTGCCAACTTCATGGCTAGATCTTGGGGAACACGAATATGGCTCAAGTATAGGGCTGTGGTGACTGGGGTCTGAAAATGGAACTTCGAAAGATTTTATTTTTATTTATTATTTATTATTATTACTATTATTATTATTTGGTTCTAGAGATGAGCAAGTTCCCCAGACTTCCTCCTGCTGAGCACAGAACCAGCATACCCTCCTCTCTTCAGCCCAAAGAAAATGTAGATGCCACCCCAGGAGGCAGGAGACTGGTTTCTTTTCCAGAAGAAAGGGGAGGATGACCTGAAAGTGGCTGGAAGCCATGTAGCTCTCTCTGTGCTCCTCCCACCCTGTTCCTCACCTAAGACCTTTGCCCATATGGGCAAGGTGAGATGGTGATTTGAGGCAAATGCCCCCCCCACCGGAACTAGTTTTGAATAAATTATTTTTTCTTTTTAGCAAAATAAATGGCCTTTCATTTGGTCAGTGGTGAGCAAATGAACTTGAATGTATGACAAAATGGCCAGTAATACTAGCACTCAACAATGTTCTAGAGCATGGTGGAGAACCCGTGGCACGCATGCCACAGCAGGCAGGCAGAGCCTTTTCTGTTATCAAGCAAGCCAAGTCCTCCCAGTAGCTCAGCATCAGATAACAGTTGTTTTTTCTAAACTAAAACCTCAGGATTCAGATTTAATCGCAGTGTTGGCACTTTGCAATAAATGAGTGGGTTTTGGGTTGCAGTCTGGGCACTCTGTCTCTAAAAGATTCACCATCACTGTTCTAGAATCTTCCAGGTCTTTCTGATGTTCCAGTGGGAACAAGAATTGCAAATGCCTGATGGTGGAGGTCTGAGGTGTGGTTAGCAATCCATAGTGGCTGTCCGTGGGATGAGAACACCCCGAGATGTTGTGGGCGGTAGAAGCCAGGGGAGTAAAATAACCATTTTGCTTTCTGAAAGCACCTCTTGGCAGCAGTCTGAATAACGGATGGGAGGTGATGAGAGTAGAAGAAGGAAGATCACTTAGGGGAAGATGAGATGGTTTGAGGAGGAAATTACCAAGGTCTAGACGGAGGGGACACAGTGGCGCCACAGGAGGACCATAACAGCTGTGCAGGACGTGGCCTCTGTAGGACCGGGCTGGTGCCGGGGGAGGGAGGAGGGAGAGAAACGATGCCCTAGGATTCGGGATCGGTGGTGTCACTGCCCTGGTCAGATAGAGAAGGAGCAGAGTTCAACGCTGGTTACCTAAAATCTGACATGCCTGCAGGGTCTTCAAATAATTTATTTCTCCTGAAATCCATTTTTTCACTCTAGTTTCTGCTTTGGTGATCAGCCTATCAATTTTTGCCATTTACTGTGACTTTTCGCATTTAAATCTGTAGCTGGAATTTATTGTGATTTTAGTGTAAAGGAAGGATGTTTTTATTGTTTTACAAGCATTTAAACATTTAGATCAGCCACTTCCTTCAGTGATTCAAAGTGCTACTTGGATTACATAAATACTTATGTGCACAGCCCTACATGCTATGAGCTGTTTCTGACTATTCCATTCTGTTCCCTTCATCTAATTATGTCTAGCTTTTTATGTTTAATGTATGATAGTACTAATTTATCTTTCAACTTTGTTTTTCCACTGTTTTTTTTCTTTTTCCCCCTTTGGTTTTTTGAGACAGGGTCTCACTATGTAGTTGAGACTGACCTGGAACTCACTACGTAGTGAAATAACTCAATGTAAAAAATTAACGCATGTGCAATAATGCCATATAATCTAAGAGAGCGTAAAATAAAAAGTAAAAGCACTTCAGCCCCATCCACATGCCTTTGACTTGTCTGAAACCAGCCAATTACTGTGGTGTTACGTGTGTGATCCTCCCGTGGCTCCCTCAGCTTTCTTTGATCAGCACGAGTCTAACCATGCTCCAACAGTAAACTGGATTTGTTTCAGTTTCCATATTTTCATTTGGCTGTTGTCTGAATCCTCAGATCCTGGGCTGGATGGCTGGGTGCCAGTCCAGTGATTCAGCTGTCTGGGGCCAGGCACTGCGTAGCACTCATTTTTCTGTCTTGGACATTAAAGGCACAGCCACCCGAGTGCTCCATCAGCTTGAGGCAGAACAGCCCCTGCCTTACTACCTTCCACTTTCAGCCCGGCTCCACCCTGCAAACTGGCCTAAGCTAGCACAGCACTGACTTCGCAGGAGTCATCAGCCCCCTGCTGTTCTCCAAGAAGGTCCATCTATAATATTTGCAGAAATATCAGGTTTGGGTTTTTGGTTTTTTAAGTGCCAGTTTTTGACCTATGTGTGCTACCCTTCCATATGCACATTTTTCCTATAGGACTTAAACCAGACTAAGTCGGACGGCTTCGCTTAGATATCTACAAATTTCCCAGGTTGTCTTATATTGCTTTACAATCCCAATGTTTTTACATGAGATAAAGTGCAGAAACAGTAACCAATTAGCCTAAAATCAGCACAGTAGGCATGCCAGCTCTGACTTCCAGGGCAACTCTTTGCACTATCTTATCTGATTTTATGTTTTCAATTTTCTTGAGAAGAGGGGGTGTCACTATGTTGCCTGTGTCAGCCTCTTCAGTAGCTGGGGCTATATATATGTGCCACAGTGCCCAGCTTCTAGTAGGAATCAAATTCAGGACCTTCCACTTGTGAGGCGGGCAGTGGCACCACTGAGGTAAATCCCAGGCCAAAGAATTTAAAAATTGCTACAGTTAAAATTTTTCTCTAAGAAAAAAAATTATTCTCTAAGTTCATATACAAAAAAACTACAGTAGTTAACCTTACCACAAAGTATCCTCTCCATTCTTTCTTGTGCTCAAAAGCTAGTTATAGTACAGAAAACCTAGGTGACCACACCTGTTACCCCAACACTCGGGAGGCTAAGGCGGGGCTCACAGCAAGTTTGAAACCACCCTGGGCTCCATAGTGAGTTCAAGGCCAGCCCGACCTAAACCTCAAGAACCTGTCTCAAAAAAACAAAGAAAAACCAGGCCTTACTCTCAGACTTGAACAGCAGTTCTGACTTACTAGAGGGGCCAGCAGAAGGAAGCACTTCCTCGGCACCATTGGTTTGAAACAGGGGAAGTTCAAGAGGCTCAGCAGGTAATACTCTCTTTACCATACCCCAGGGAAGTACAGTCAGAGGCCCTACCATTCTGGGTTGAAACTGAGCAGCCCTTGGGCCTCAGTAATTGGCTCATACACTTTCTGACTGCTAGAGGGCTAGTCCGACACACACCTTTAGGCAATTCCCACCTTAACAAAATGCCCACTCCCAGTGAGGCCACTTCAGAGGAGAGGTTTAACTGTATGAACCACAGAGACGATCACATACCCAGAATTATAGATTTTTTTAATTTTTAACATCCAGAGTCTGTAATGTAAGGGCAAGAGCTTTCTCCAAAACTCAGTTTTATAAATTCTCAATTGGCTGATGAGGCCAATAGGGATACTTCTTCTTGTCTAATTTGGTTTCTGGGAAGACTTCATTCAAGTCCTCGATGGTCATCTGCTCAAATGGAATCATGTTCTTTATTTTCTCTAGCTGGAAAGAGTAGAAATGTGTCAGTAAAGGGAAATAGCGCCACAGAGATGTAAATTAAGAATCCAAGGCAGGTTACGGCCAATGAGTGAAGGATGTGTGGCCATAAGAAAGAGAGAAACGTATCATGGGCAGAGGCCACCCCAGTTGTTCATTCTCACCTGCTTCTCATATTCCACAATCCGGGACTGTGAGAGAGCCACAAACTCAGCACAACTTTTCACCTAGAAGCGAAGAGAAAAATTCTGTTCTGAAGCCAAGTTATGCCCAGACTCCAGGCTCCCAAGACATGAGGGCTCTCAAGCCTGCCCTGGCTTTCCTGCCCACCCCCCACTACGGAGGAACTCTCACTTTTGGGAGCAAATCACAGCTTCTCCCGTCACCCACAAATGGCTCACAGCACCCAGTCTCCAAGGGGCTGCTCACTGAGTGGTCAGGACAAGCCCTGCGACCGCCAAGCCACACTTCTCTTTGGTGGAACCATCTGGGTTCCAACATTTGGCCTTCAGTGCTTTCAAGAGAAAAGGCATCCCAGTACCGCTTGGGTAACTTTTCTACCTAACTCCAACTCCTTAATTGTTCTTAACAGTTCTGTTGAGGTCTAACTACCATACGATAACATGAGCACTGCTTTGACATACACATCTACTTATGAAGCCATCACCACCTTCCAAGATGCGATCACATGTATAGCTCCTCTCCCTGCCATCCCCAGGCAACTACTGTCACTATAGAGTAGTTGCAGTCTCTAGAGATCTATACAAATGTGGTCATATATACTACGTAGTTTTTTTTTTCTTGTTGGCTTCTTATACTCAGAATAATTTTGGACTTATTAACGGGTGATTCTATTACTGTCAACTCCTTAATTTGCATGTTAATTCACTTTACCTTAGCCTAGCTGCTAAGGAATACAAAACTGTCCCTATTAAGAAAATTTTATGGTACATGCTTGTAATCCCAGTACTCAGGAGGCTGAGGCAGGAGAATTGCCCCAAGTTCGAGGCCAGCCTAGACTACATAGTCAATACTAGCCTGAACTACCTAGCGAGACTCTGTCTCAACACACAAAAATTTAGAATATATAAGAGCATCATCCGATCTAGAGATGGTGGGGGAAGGGAGGAGAAGGGAAGTTAAAAAAGAATTAAGATGTGTTATATCACTCAGGAAGCTGAGGCAGGAGGATCACCATGAGGTTTGGTGCCAGCCTAAACTACATAGTGAGATTGTCTCAAAAAAACCAAAACCAAACAAAAAAGATGTGTTATGTTCATGTACCAACTTACCATGGTGAATGTAATCATTATGCAGTACAAACACACACTAATACAAATAAAAGTAATTTTTAAAAAAGGATCAACCACTTACATCTTCCTTTTCTTCAGCATCCACCAGCGCAGTATATTTATCCTCTGGCACAGGAACTTTCAGGGCGTTAAACTACAAATACAGACAGTGAGTTGTTAGCAGTACACCCAGGAGTCTAATGAAAGGGGTCAAAGGCTGCTGTTCTTCACAGGTCACATTAAAACACATTCTCCACCCCAAAAGAAAACTGCACTACTAACGTTTCCTGTACCTCCAGCGTTGTGTAGTGGAAAGAGTATTTTACTGGGAAGAGAATTAACCAGGCATGGTGGCATACACTTGTAACCCCAGCACTCAGGAAGCTGAGGCAGGAGGACCGCCATGAGTTCAAAGCCAGCCTGGACTACATAGTGAGACCTTGTCTCAAAAAAAAAAAAAAAAGAGAAACAAAAGGGTTTTCTCAGCCCTTTCACTAACTCAGGACCTTGGAAAATTCTTTATTACAATGAGCTTCAGTTTCTCACCTGAAGAAAACCAAAAAACAAAAACAAAAACAAAAAAAACCCAAACAGCTGGAATCAGCACATTTTAGAATCCTGAAGAAATTCTGATTTTCTTCATTAACACTGTCTGGCACAAAGCAGGCCCTCCACGAGCATCCTCCAATGAGCAGGCAAATTAACCTTTGATATTGAGACTTAATACGTATCAAAGGGAGAGGGGTAGAAAAGCAATTACAGCTGTAAGGGACAGGGAAAAAAGAAGAGTAGAGAGGAAAACAGGAAAGAGTAGAAAAGCTGACAGTTCGTACCAAAGAGACAGGTGGGAGGCTAACAGGGAACTCAGGAAGTGCAGGGCAGGCACTTGACAGACCTCTGGCTCCCAGGAGATCGCCTTATAGTGCTCTTGCATGAAGACCCTGAATTTCCTGCACCTTGTCACTATTTAAATCAAGGCCTTTGGCTCCAGCTTTTCTAAACTTTTTTGGGGATCTAAGTGTTAAAGTTAACATCGCCCTTCTTTCCTGGCTATCACCTTAAACATTTAATTATCCACCTTCTTGCTCCTCCCCCACCCTCAAGCCACATTACAAGACCCACTGCTTTAGCTATCTTAAATCTCACCTTCTTTTCAAAGTCATCCACCAAGCCTGCCTTGGCCACGTTGGCCTTGTAGTAAGCCCAGTCGATCACTGGTGGTTTCTCAGACAGAGCAGCCAACCTGCTCACAGAGAAAAGCAGAAGTTAGGACTGTTCCATGAACAAGAGGAAATTCACACAGAAATTTCTCTATTCTTTACTCCTATAGCCTGGAGCGCCATCAAGCTTTTCTTTTGCAGCACCATCATGAAAATCAAAACAAGCTTTTATTTGGAAAATGTGTAGGTTTATTTTTTGTCAGAAAATTATCAGAGTGATCCTCCTGCCTTAGCCTCCCAGGGCTAGTAGTCATTTTTTTGCAAAATGTGCTTTTAAGTGCTCCCAACAGGTTTCCATTATATACTGTTCTGAAGCTGCCCAAAAAGCAGCTTGGTGGATGCTGGGCGTGGTGGCGCATGCCTATAATCCCAGCACTCAGGAGGCCGAGGCAGGAGGATCGCTGTGAGTTCGAGACCAGCCTGGGTTACATAGTGAGTTCCAGGTCAGTGTCAACTACATAGTGAGACCCTGTCTCAAAAAACCAAAAAAAGAAAGAAAGAAAGAAAGCAGCTTGGTGGAAAGATGTCCACAGAGATCTAGGTCTCAGATTAGAAGGCTCCAACAATGGCTGCAATAACTCCCCTCAAGGTTTTGAGTCAGGTGGACCATTCCAAGGAACAGAATGTATTACTTTAAACAAAAGAGTAAGAGAGTCATTCCTTTCTTAGTATGCTCATACTTTGTAAATTGAAACTGTTGGCTTTAGTTTTTTTGTTTGTATTTGTTTTTTCAGTCCTTAAGATTAGCTTTCTAGAATGCCTCAAGAATCTTCTCCTAAAAAAATAAAAATAAAAAACAAAATTAAAAAGTAAAAAGGGCTGGGGATTTAGCTCAGTGTGCCTCTGCCTGCTTTGCAAGCGCAAGGTCCTGAGTTCGATGCCTGATACCAAAAAAAAAGAAAGAAAAGAAAATTATCAGAAATGCCTGTGTAATTCTAAAACATCCATTCTAGATTTGGTAACAGGTCTAGGGCTCCCTCAGAAACATACTGACCTGGAGCTGAGGGTCTCATTCCAAGACTTCAGAGAGTTAGCAACAGCCTTTTGGTTTGGGGGTATGATCTCCCCAAAAGCTACCCAGTCAATGGCTTTTAGAGCAAGTTTGCGCCCAGCCATCTTGGGATCCTAGAAAATAAATAAGTCAAATTAAAACAGTGCTCTTGAAGTATCCCCTGAAGGAGAGCATTTAGCCACACACAAGTCTTTAAGAAAGAGATCACACCAGGGATGATGGTGCAAGCCTGTAATCCCAGCACTTGGGAAGCAGAGCAAGAGGATCACTGCAAGTTCAAAGCCACCCTGGGCTACACAGTGAGTTCAACACCAGCCTGAACTACATAGCAAGACCCTGTCTCAAAAAAATAAAAAAGAAAAAGAACAGCACCCGTTGAGCACTTGGGATATCTATTTAGCAACTAGAGGAATTACAATTACTAAATCAGAAAGGGAGGATGGCTTAGCTTCTCAAATTCAAGCTCTGCAACCTGGACTACAAATACAGTATATTCTTTCCTACTAGACTGCCCTTCCTCTATCTCCCAAATCCTTAAATCCAGCACTCTACTTATCTCTCTCTCTTTGTTCTTTGGTATGAGGATCGAACTCAGGACCTTGCCCCTGCGACACAGGAGGCAGAAGCACTGAGCTAAACCCCCGCCCTCACGCCATGTGTTTTTGGAAATATCCACCCAGATTGTTTATTCGCTTATTCTCCAAGTACACAGAACACAGCACATACTAAAATTTCAACAAGGTTTACAGAGCACACCGTGGGAGTTTCTTCATCTATAAACTGAGTATCTGCTCAGCTTTGCTCAGAAGGCCGCTGAAACTACCAAATGAAACTGTGCACATAACTTTTGGTATAGTTTTATACAAACTTAAGAGGCTGTCCATTCCCTCCCTACCAGACTGGTAAGAAGGCTCGGGTATGACCAATGTCTGATTATCTCTCACAGCACTGGCCGTGCATTAAGACGCATTCAAAACATACGTTAACGAGAGAAGGTGGAAAGCGGCTGCAGCTTTTAAATCAAGACAAACTACGGGAAAAATAGTCAACTTAAAACTAAGGAAGATCGGGGTCAGATATTAGAAGACGGCAAAGTCAAGGGTCTCTACAAACTGTGGATTTCCAAGGGAGGACGCAACCTTCCTTCGGATCTTGAAAAGTTATCAAACACCTGTCTCTTTCATTCCTTTCTCGGGTCGTTAGTCTCCTGCAGGGGAGGGGCGGGGTTAAAGCAGTTAATTTTTAAAGATGGCAGAGAACTATAGACCCTTTGCCAATCACCAGACGAGTCTTAAAAGGTTGCTTTGTTTGTTGTTTAATCGCGAGCCTAGAACAGGTCATGCGCGTAGGAAGAGCCCGATGAAAATCCGGTCACCCGGGACGTGAGTACTGCACTTGAGAAGCCCTGCACACCGCACACCCTGGAACTCTGGAACCCTCTAGAGAAGGGAGGACGCAGCCCTGCAGCCTCCGAGTCTCTCAGCAACTGTGTCCGTGTAACGTTCTCCCAGAACCCAAACTGCACTACCGAGGTAGCTGGGCTGGGAGCGGACGGAACGAGACGGGTTTCTGGCAGCATCTAAAAGAGCCGCGACCCGGTCACAGCTGGGGCCCGCAACCTCAGGCGCCCAGGAGAGGTGAGAAAGAGACTGTGAGGTAAACCGAGTCCTGCGTCCTCGGTGGGAGCGCAACAAACGTCGGTGCAAGGTCTGCAAAACGTACAGCAAGAGGAACTGATCGGGGATCAGATTCAGCGTTCCAAGACCCACTCACCTTCACCGACCCCGCCAAACTCAGTCCCCAGCGGCAAGTAACGGAAGTGGGTCACCGGAAGGGCTTGCCCTCGGCCAACCACAAAGTTCAGGGCTTGGACTTTGCGTCACAGATAGGCCAATACAGACGGAGGCTGGTCCCGGAAGTCCCGTCCCCGAGGGCGGGCGCAGCGCCTGCGCTGCTGGGGTCTCCGCTAGTTGGGGGCGCTCCTGTCCTTCTCCCCCTCCTATGGGCCGGCCCGGCTCTCCCTGCGGAGGAATGGGCCGACCCGGCTGTGCGCGGGCAGC